ATTGTCCCTGTTTTTAGCAGCCAACTAGTTAACATAACAAAATAAATAATAGATTAATGGGTACGAAATATGTATTATTCGCTTTACTAGTCCAGAACTATTCATTCTACTAATAATTTTTCTTAATAAAATTAATAAGTTTTAAGGATATCAGTTATGGTTTTCAGTTTCAACTGGGTCATGTGAAAAGCTGTATACACGTACTTTCCCAGACGAGGAGATTATTAATCGTCACCTAATAAGTGGAGGTGCTCCTCCGATTTTTGAATGAAGAGAGCGGCGCAAGAAGCCCGAGAGGGGCGGCGTGGCCAGGCGCTTTGGGACGCACCGGGCCAGGCGGCCCCGCGCCCCAGCCTCATTAATAAAAGATCCTCAGCGCTGCCCGAGCGCAGGGATCGGCGCGCGGCGCCTCGTTGTTTTTGCCCCGGCGCGCCGCCCCGCCTCCGCGCCGCCCGCCCACGCCAAGCCGCCCGCGCCGCATCGTGGCTGACCGAAAGCGGGCCCCGGCGCGCCCAAGCCCCCCTCCCTCCCCCGTGCCCGCCTTCATGCCACCTCACGCACCCGTGACCCGCCTCGCATCACGCCATTCGTGCGCCGGCTCCGGCTTTCGCCCACTCTCCCAGCCCAAGCCCAGCCCACGACCCCGCCCTGCGCCAACGGCTCCTTGAATGATTGTATCGTTCGGGGCGGCGTCAACTACCAAGGTCGTTTCGGTCTGTAATAGTCTTGTTTATCGCCGGAAGGCGGCGGTGTTCTTAGTCCTGGATTCTAAAGCATTCGACGCACCGACCTACGAGGTGGCTTGGCCAGAGTCTTCTCCTCCAAATCAAGCATCTCCCACCAGCGAGCAAGCTGCTCCAGCGCCGGGATACTGCTCAACCTCCCAAACTGGGTCTCCCCCGAGAAGTTGGTACTTTAGCATGTGAGTTATAATGTGTGGGTAAGGAGTGAGGAAAAGAGTAAACGAAAGCGAATGAAGGGCTCTGTGAACGCCTGTTATGGATACTGATCCGGGCATTTTTCCTGGTATTGATCGGGAAAACCATGGACAACTACCAATCCGAGCTAGTCTCAAAATCTGGCCAACCGGTGGCCTAGGTGTCCGCCGCTCTGTCAGAACAGCACTGGCGGTTCACATAGTTGATACGCCTGAGCCTCCTCAGCTGGTTCGGCCACGTCCCTCACGCAGGCCCGTGGTCGTGACGGCCCGGCGTGCGTCCCGTCCTTCACGGCGCACAGGCCACCTCAAAAGGGCTATTGACCTCGCATTCCAGGGGGGGGGGCATCTTGGGCCTTGAAGATAACCAACGGCATACAGAGGATGGTGTAAGTGGCAATTTGAATGATTTCCTTCGATTTTGTAAAACACTAAAATGGCCCCGCCACGAGACCCCGGAAATTACTATCCTTCGCTACCGGGGAAAGAACAAAATTTAATCATAAGTTGTGACTGATCAGGTTACATCAACGCTACTTCCATGTAACGTCGATAAAAATAAGTGAATATAATTTCCAACATTTCTTTTACCTCTATCTAAATTGTTTAGCCTCAAATTGGAGAAAATCGGAGGGGATTATAAGAGGGCAAACGTCTACAGTTTCTTAAAAGGTTTTAAATGGAAAATTTGGAAAAACACGGGGTAAAAAGAAATAGATGCTTTATATTTTTTATACACCTACCACTGCTGCCCCCCTCCTGGTTTGCCACCGCGTGGCAGTTATCGCCGGTAAGGGGTTTTCACCAAAGGTAAAACCTGGCTGGGTTTGGTCCGCACATGGGAATTTGTGGCTACCGATAGAGTACGAAGAAGAACACAAGCGAGCATGTACTGAGGGGCCTTGGAGGGGGGAGGGGGAAGGTGGAGGTGAGCGGCGCGCCCCGGGGAGAGCGTTTTGAGCGGAAGCGGGGGGACGGGGGCGGGGCGGGGGGGATATCCAAACACGGCCCCCTGCGGGGCAACTGATTGCACCGCCCCCTGGTATGATTTACGCGCACCGCCCCTGGACGTTCGGCAGGTGCGGGCCAGGGGGGGGGGCGAGACAGGAGCGAATTCAGAGGGCCCGTGGCCATTCCACTGGAGTCCTCGGCAAGAATAATAGGCAATTTTTTATTGCTTCTCCAAAAGGAGATTCGAAAGGCAAGCTTTAATAAAGAAAAAACATTTTATTATTTCGTAACTGAAAATAAACATATTTAACAAACTTTAAGTGATTGAGGTAAATAAAACGTAATAATAATCGTTACACTCAACTTATCACACTCAACGTTAAACAAAACTTCAAACACGTATTGTTACAATAATGATTTTGTATTCGCATTTTAAAGCAGAAGTATTCAATAATCGATTAATATAGAAATATGTAATTTTTTATTGTTCTTATTCTTAATATCGTGATTTTTGCATTTCTTTCAGTAATTTAGAAGTTCTACCTTGAATCCATAATAGATAAAATTACAAATGAATTATAAATGTGTATTTTTTAAATAGGAGAAAAATTATATTTCTGGAAATTTGGCGGAAAGGGAATCGAGATTTAAATCTCGTAAGCTCCAAGATATAGTTAATGCTTCATGCCGTCTCCCCTCTTGGGCGTTTCTTGGTACGAGGGGAGAATATCAAGACATTGGAAGAACATTGACATTTATCGTAAAACGATTTTGAAATATAGCTTAATGGACTCACTGCTCATAAAAAATGCATCGGAGAACATTTCCACACATATCGCCTCCCCACGTGCAGTCTGTAGGTCTGACTCCTTGACGAATTGTCTCCATCGGGCCCAGTAATTGTCGGTTCGAAACCTTTGAATTTGAGGATAAGTCCTTCGGAGCGCGTAACTCTACAATTACCGACATTTAAGAAATTTCAAATTGCCAGGCGGGAGTTTAATGTCCCTCAATCAGCAAGTAGTTGCCGCAGATAGCCGTTTTATGGCGTTTACAGTTAGGGCGCTCGAGCGTGCGTTCGCGCCGTTGCATAATCTCCCCGGCCGCCCCGTGAGCGCGGGCGCTCGCTAGCCGCGGCCACCGCCTCGCTGCGGACATCCGCGCTGCCACGGAACGACATTTCGAAAGGGTTACGTTATGAAAATAAACATTTTGTACAAGTTGTATGAACTCGTGACTAAGAGCAATTGAAGGATGCAGAGTCGGTTACCGTGGACGCAAGGTTGTTGAGAGAGACTGGGTGGAATTCGCGAGACGGAATAGAGGCCGGTTAAATATTAATGCGAAATTCTGATTTAAAAAATAATTAGTAGCAACTTCAGAATCTTGGAAGTTTGGGAAAACCTAGGGGAAGAGAATTTTGCAAAATTGAACGGTGGTTCTAAAGAAAGGAACAAGATAACCGCGGAAGCGAAGACGGTAACATTCACCAATTGATTATGCAAGCATGATTTCACGAATAATATATTTGCTTTGTGTTCGAACTTATTAGTGTTATTATTTCAATTATCTCAATAGAGAGGCCAACGGATAGCAACGTTTGGATGGTGGCAATACAACTACAGCTGATTTACTTGTTGGCAGTACAAGCGATTACGGGCACTTTATTTGTGCCTACGCTGTTGCGGAAATATTAGGTTCAATAGATTCGTAATAAGAAAGTTTATGTAGCAATAAAAAATTTCAAGCTCATATTTGATATGACTCGTACGTATCTAGATTAGAATAAAATTCAAGGGTATTGTGAGTACATCGTGAGTTCAAACGCATGTAGTGCAAATGAAAACAAATCAGAAATGCAAAGAGTATTACTGAACGTTATGAAGATAATGTCTCTAGATATTCCAAGTCCTTTCAGTCATTCCGTTTGGTTCGTCACGACGTCTACATGGACCAAGAAGAATTTGAACTCCGGAACCCAAAAGTGGAAAACTAACTCAACCACCCCCACAAATGGATACGTTGAAAAATAAGGATCTTTGAAATTAAACAAAGTTTAAGTATTGTATTATTATTAATAGTACTAGCCGCTGCCTTAGATACTGCAGTTTGGCAGCCAATAATTCCCGAAGGCTCCTGGTTCCTCAATTGTTTTCTGATTAGCCTCCCCGGATTGTTTTCACTCACATCCGATTACCTTTGAAGAATCCTTCATACTATTTTAAGCTCTGTAACATTTTCCTATGGGATAAGAGCTAGAAAAATTTACATTTACTTGACATATCTTCGCTTTCCCGGGAATAAAGCGAGTGCCTCTGGGCTGCACGGCGTCTCCAGGTTTTCTCCCCAGAGCCTTGGCGCCCCCCGCCCCAAGAGGGTTGGTGGGAGGGGTGGGGGAGCGCACCGAGACGTCGCGGAAACGCACGGCGGCGGCGGCGGCATTTGCATTCACCGGAACCTCCGGCCAACTTAATAACGCAGGCAATTAGTTCGCGAGCGCCGTTGCGCTGGCGCCGGAGGGCACCCTCCACACTCGGCGACTTTTCAGAAACTGCGACTTCGCCAACAAACTTAAGGCCTTGACGGCGACAGGACGTCCTGCTGTTGCGAGGTTCGCGCCGCATTCCGGCTCGTGTGTGCTGTGTGTGAGACGGGATTGCACTGTCAGGCATTTTACTCCCACAACTACAACGAAAGTTTTAAACAGAAAATTAGGTCAAAGTAAACTGCGACAAAATTATTTAAAAATTGAAGGATTATAAAAATACTTATTACTGCAACACAAAAAAGTTGAAGTTAAACCACCCAATATATCAGCTAAGAAAGAAAATAATTAAATGATATATAAAATAATTAAGTAGATTAATTTGAATAAAAATGTAAAAATTCAATATGGTGTATGACTTCTGAATTATGTAAAGCAACTGAAATTTGCCTTGAATGAATAAAATAGAAACGGAAAAAAGCATTGTGAAGAAGAGAATAAACCAAAAATAGTAAAATTGGGCCGAAAAGAGTAGAAATAATAACGGTCGTATTAATTTAACTTCCAAATTGGATATCTTTTATTGAAAAATAAACGATTTCATTTTGAGTAAAATGATCAGGCGAGTCAATTTCGCGTCTTCCAGCCCTGCGAGTGTCGTGTCCACTCAAGGTCGGTCCGTGTTACTTTCTCTCTCCGCCCCGCTCGAACTACCTGTACACGCCCCGCGTACAAGTAACACGAGTGTAATGGAACGTGAGGTGACGTGCGAGGGGGGGGGCGGGGCTGCGTGCAGCACTTCCTTTATAACACTCGCGCTGCGAGCGGCGGCCAGCCAGTGGCCTTGGAATGTCAGGGGCCTCGTAGCCTACTTCGCGCCGGCAAACAAGCACGAAATCTTGGGCAATATTGACCCCACGTCCGCGCTTTAGTGTCGGCGCTGTAGCGCGGCGACGCGGGCGTGTTTTCCAATCCGCCTAAGGAGAATCCGCGCCGCCCGCCTGTCCGTTGTGGGGTCCGCCACGCGGTGATCCGCCGCTTGCATGACCGAACGTCCTTACCCGCTCTCCCGCATTCGTCTTATCAATCGACGAAGGGGAAGGGAAGAAAAAAAGCCGGGGACGCGGTCGGAGCGTGGGGCGGAGGGCGAATTTCGCCCCGTTCACCGCAATTTTCCTACTCCGGCGGCGCTGCGGCGGCGGCGGGAAGGAAATGAACGTTATTTACGGGCTCGCAGGCAGATTGCGTT